TTCCTTTGTATGGAAGTTGTTTCTTCTTTTTTTTTACTCGAGGGAGACAGAGCCTAAAAAGCTCGATGCAGAGCTCGTGCGGAGTCGCTTGCGGGCTGTTTCATTCTTGGATGTAATCGGGAGGAATGAGAGCGGATATTCGTGAACTGAAGGGCTAAAGAGTGAGATCTTTCAGATTGTGGCGCGAGGAAGCAAAGTTTAGATTGGTCGCTCAGTGCCGGATCGTATAGCTTGGTTTTCGCTATAAGGAATGTACTTTTCGCAAAACCTGTTACGTTTACTTTCGGAAGTTACTTCGTTATGACATGATCCTGACTATACGAAGGATTTCTCGCGTAAGTAACGGGCGATGAATTTAGTAAATTGGCACCACGCATTGGGTTAGCAATGTTTCCGCAGATTTTTCGAGAAAAAAGCCTAAGTTTTTGATTCTTCGATGATAGTTTTTCGGAGTCACTCACAGAGTTTTACCAAAATTTATTTCACCGAGATCTAGTTGAAAAATTTTTTAGCAGGTTTTGTCGGGCGGAATGAATCACATGACCAGAAATAGGATCAGTTGGCGAGAAGGGAGGACGTGTTCCCTATTTCTGCTTTGTATTCTCGGTTTTTCTTTTTGCCGCAAATGTTCTTGATATTATTCCGTGACTCACTTGGTTCGACGGAGAATGAGATGAATGCTTTGACGCCTAAAGATTTCTCGTATACGAAACTTGTTTTATCAAGTTCGAGAAGATCTTTATGACTTCGGCAAATCATCGAGTATCACTCTCAAGTTTCGCAGAGATTTTCTAACCGCATGATTGCGACGAGAGATGCTCTATAGTCCTCGAGATTATTTCTCAGACGGTTTGGATCAGTTTTTAGCATTTAGACGGTTCTTAAATTTCCGTTTGCTTTTGGGATGATTTTGACGAGGCGTCGCATTGTCCGAATATTTTTCTGCCTGTTTTGGCGAGAGTTTGCTTTTATAGAAAGTGTTTTCTCGATGCGAGAAAAAATATACGACGAAAAGAAAAAAGATGAGTTTCCTTTGAAGGATTCGGATGATCGATAATTCGGGTTGGTTAAAGACCGTGGTGGATTGGCGGTGACATGGAGTATGTCTGATTTACGAAAATTTCTAGGAGCGAGTCGGTTTTAAGACCACGTCAGCGTCTCTAGCTCCTTCTTTCTTTTAGGAAATGAGTTCGTTCGAACGCGTGGCGATCGTTTCTCGGTTGTACGAGAGATTGGATCGGTTTGCGAGTTATGCCTGAATGGTTAGAGAACAACAAATTGAGATAGACAAAAATTGCTTACGACTTAGCATGCTAGACTATCCTGCTAAATTCTAAGTTCCCTAGGAAAATTACAAATCGAGATAGACAAAATTTCGGACTGAACCTTATGAGAGGCTGCCTACGTATCACTTTCGAGGATCAAGTCGAACGTAGTTCAGTTGATAGAACTGGACCAGAGATTGAACTGTCTGGGCGAGTTCGTCTAGTAATTGAGCGCCAGTCATAGAAACCGAACTTGTCGAGAAAAAAGCCTAAGTTTCTAAGTGCAGAAAGTTTTAAGTCTAGAAAAGTTGTAAAAGTCTCAGATGAGAGCTCTGAAAATCGTCCCCTGCTTCTGTCCTCTGTCTCTTGCTTATATACTCCCTTCCTAGGCGGTTTAGTCCTTCCATTTCGCCCAGATTCGAGTTTATCGTGAATATTCCATTTATCTTTATCTTTCTTTTTTTCCCGCAGAAATATTCTATTTATCTTCAAACTTGACATTTATCTTCAAACTTGACATTTATCTTTCTTCTGCGGGTAAATCGTCAAAAATTTATCGTATCTTCGGGTTAGATTTCGTTAAGATCGCAAGAGGGGCTTTTATCGCAATTTAGGACCTTCCGAGCCGTTTTGCGATAAATCCGTTTTGCGACTTTGTACGAGATCGTTTCCTGATTCGATGCCGTTTTTAATAAATTCCTCGAGCTAATCGTAAAGTTTAGCTACGTTTGTTTTTCGGTTAATCGCTGTCGTTTTTACGATTCACTCGATGTTTTTTTTATTAAAAACGCATTTTTTACGATTTTTACGAAAAATCTCGAATTAGTCGTATAGTTTAGGCAATTTTCAGTGTTTCGTTTAACCGTTGCCATTTTATACGATTCCCTCGAGTTCTTTTCGAGAAAACAAAGTTTTACGGTTTTTATCGTAAAACTCGAACGATAGGACGGATCGAGACGAAACGGGAGACATTTCGACCGTTGTTCGGAACATGATCGTGTCGAAGGATGTATGCCCTGAATCGGGTACGTGGGAGATCAGGGCTTGAAATGGTTGGCTCGACGTACGACAAGCCGAACCGGACCGGTTCAGCTCTCCCTACGGCAAGCTACCCAGGAAGCGTTTAGCTCGCCGTACGGCGAGCTACTTGGGACGGGGCTAGCTCGCCGTATGGTGAGCTAGTTAGGCCGAACTAGCTCGTGGTTTACGGCGGTTGCGAATTTTCGCGGTTTTGTGCTTAACTCGGACGATCTTGTAATCGACGTTTGTTTCATTTTCCGAGATAATGATTTCCGAGTTTTCCGCGGATTTCCTTTTAAAACGATTTCTCGAGTTTTATAAAACGACTTCTCGAGTTTTATAAAACGAATTATTGAGTTTTATAAAACGATTTCTCGAGTTTTATAAAACGACTTCTTGAGTTTTGTAAAACGAATTCTCGAGTTTCATAAAACGGTTTATCGTTTTATAAAACGACTTCTTGAGTTTTATAAAACGACTTCTCGAGTTTTATAAAACGACTTCTTGAATTTTATAAAACGACTTCTCGAGTTTTATAAAACGACTTCTTGAGTTTTATAAAACGGCTTATCGAGTTTTATAAAACGACTTTCCGAGTTTTATAAAACGACTTCTCGAGTTTCATAAAACGTATTTTTATTTTTGCAGAGACTTTTAGCCATTGATTCCGTCGTGACCGATTTTGACACCAACACTAGCTCTTGATCACTTCGATTGGCATTGCCTTTTCCATTCGGAGTTGCTGATGAATCCATCTACAAAATATAAACCGCACCTTTGTCAAAAAATAATAGATAATAAAGATTAAAGAACCATGAATCAAAAACAAGATAAATGAAAAAAAGAAAAACATGTAACACGAATCAAGTGTCAAACACATGCTACATCAACTTAGGCCTCATCAAACTAGAGATCAATATTAGAGTATTAACAAACGATTGAAAAAAAAAAACAGCAAACTTAGGCCTTATCAAACTAAAGATCACTCCTAACTAGAATATTAACATACGATTGAGAAACAAAAACTTAGGGTTTTGGATTGTGAAAACTTAGATCAACTTCTTGTGTTGCTGTGAATAGTGAATGAACTGCTTCGATCAAAGTCCTTCATTTATAGAGATTAGAGAATCACAATTAGCGCTTTGGACCTTCGATTTTGATTCTCTACTAGAGTCTAGAGACGATTTATGTTCTCAAGAGTAAATAAGACGCAGGAGATGAAGAGATGAATTGAGATACTAAGAAAATAAAAGCTAATTGCTTTACGTTTACGCATGGGAAATCATCTATTACCTAGGTAAGCTTTGGTTAATGTGAGTACTTAAACGGGTATCGGTTATTAACCGATCCAAACCGCTACCCGAACCAAGCTGAAGTCAAAACCCAATCGGGTATTTTTGAAGAACCGAATACATTAGAATCCGATTTTTTTTTGTTGGTAGCGGGTCGGGTCCTCGGGTATGGGTTTTATGCCCAGGCCTAGATCAAACCTTGGGCATTTTCTCCCACTAGCCAAGAAACCATCACCAGTTTCATAATTATTCCAGCACTTGAACGGCCTATAAAATTTTAATTTGATCATCCATCCAATTCAAAACCCCAAATCTCCAAAAACTGATTAAAAATACTCTAGCATCGGACTCACTCACATGTGGGTCTGGAAATTATGCAAGGCTAATGCAAGTAAGTGAGAGATAACAACATCAATTAACTCAGATGGAAGCTCATACACATCATGAATCGGATTATCACCTGGGAATACACAAATCACCAAGTCAAATCAGTACCAAATTGGCACAAGAAAGCTTTGTTCGGATCTTTCTATATCTTGTATCATGAGCTTGTAGAAGCTGAATCTTGAGGGATTGGATGCACAGAAACGCGAGGGAAAGAGCTTTCTTCATTGCCGAGTGCTTATCGCTGTGCAAACTCAAATTCTCCCGTTGCAGCCACTCTCGCTGTTTGTTCGAAAGGGGAAGAAAGCACCCAATCTGCAACAATACAAAAGAAATAAATAAAATCATCATGAGAAATAAAAGTCGAAGAAATTTTCAAAGAGACCGATTGAATGCTTCCCAGTGGAGTAGTTGGATAATCATGGAAAAACTAAGAGTTAAACACATATTAATGTAAGACTCTGGCGTTATGGTAATCGTAATGGCGTTCCAATTTCTAGACATTTCATCAGCTTGAAGAAAATCACCGAAGAACAAAACAAAGAGATCCAATGTTGTCTCACTTTTTTGGATTTTCTCTTTTAGTGGACTAAATGGGTCAAAGAAATCAAATATAACAGATCAAAAAATTACAAACTCAAACCAAAATTCAGATGCTGACATGGTGAAACGAAATGTCATGATTGATCGATTGTTTTTAATGATGTGGACAGCTATCTAAAGTTTATATTGGCATTTTATTACTTGATATTAGATAACAAAACGAGAACCAGTGTGGCCTTTAAAAGCCATATATATATATATATAGATAGGACCAACGGCTTAAAACAACACACAAAGTTTGTTGTCACTACAAAAAAGGGACCAACAACAAAAGGGAGCAGCGTCTATTTAAAGGTCTAAACCGAACTTGAAACACAAAAGAACAACATTTTTTGTTACTTAATCAGAGCCACTTCTTCAAAAGCAAAAGGGAAGTGTCTTTTCAAAAGACCTAATCCGATCTTAAACACACACAAAACAACAACATTCTTGCTAATCAACTCTTCAAGATGGTCTTGGAGAATATCTTCTTGCAATAAGGACTAAACTTCAGTTTCCCATACCTATGCACTTTCTCCACCAAGTTCGCACGAACAGGACCCTGTTTCAACCCCCATGTCAGTCTGTGATTTTAAAAAGGTTTTGTTCTATTTGACTTTGGAACTGACCTTGGTAACTGAGAGAGCAGTTTGGATAACGTAGTTTCCAAAAGGATCATGCAAGAGATGCTCAAAGTTTGGAACAGAGAGAAGCTCACGGACAATCTCAGCTCGACTCTCTGGATATATCCTGAGGCATTTCTCCATCACGTGGCTACTGAATTTCTGAGTGGCTAGCTCCGCGTAATGCATTCTAAACTGCATCAGTAACTTCGCTGCAGATACTTTTTGCTCTATTAGATACTGCACTACATAGTTCCTGGAACAATATTGCATAAAACCATAAGCAGATAGTTTTTATCACACACTAAACCAAGTCAATATTGAGTCTTAATAGTAATTATATAATGTTACCCGAAAGGATCCTGAGAAAGGTGAAGTGAGTTTCTGGATATCTCATTGACGAGTCTCTCACGTTGCTCTCCAACAGAGTTTGAGACGCAGCACTGAAGCACACAGCATCCGTGGCGATGAGTTGCTATCTCAGCACAGTACTTCGTAGCAGCTTCCAACACAAACTGGCACCAAATTTTCACAAGTATTAAAAAGTTAGATATAATCAGAGCTTTTTAGTAAGAAACCACAGAGGGGTATTAATTCAAACCTTGGTGTCGTTAGGACTGAGAGTAGTCAAGCAAGTCTGGATCACATGATTCCCATTCAAATCTTTAACAAGTGAAAGAAAGCCCGGTTTGAGACCTGACTTCACCATCCCAATCTGCTGTTTTGTTTTCACCGTTTCGATCATCTTCTGAACAACCCGTGTCCTGTAGCATTAACCACAACTCAAATCAGAAACTAGCTGATTTCTAGGCTTTTGGGCTAAAGGTCTCAGCTTTATTCTATAGCTTCCTAAAGAAAGCAGTTTTGGTTTGTCCCAAAACAGCAAAGAAGTAAATATATATATATTTAATTCATTCGTTTTCTACCAAATGTTGCACTCTTTTGTTGATAGCGATTGGGCTAAACCTTAATACAACACTTTGCACAGGTTTCAAATGTTTCCGTAAATAGTAAGAAATTTCTACTTTCTCGAGAAACAAGAAGGATTACATACAACAAAAGATGATATCTCTAATGAAAACTCATGTGGACTAGTGGGAAGTATATAACACTTTAATTTGTTGACTAAGTTAATAAAGCATAGAACTTGACACCAAATTAGCAACAGAACATGTAAAGTTTGATTGAAAGAAAAAATAAAAGCTTACCCATAATTGTTGAGACAGATTTTGAGAAGCTCCGTTGGTCTTGAGGTCAAAAAACTGACCATCATCGTTCTCTGTTCCTCGTCACACGCATCTAAGAGCTTCTGAACCAAGTAGTTCCCAAAGGGATCCATGGAAAGCTCAACCACATTGTTGATGACTTCAAGGAATAGAGAGTGAAGAAACAATCCTTCATCGACCAGCTTCTGCAAAAACCGACAACCAATCTGATCTTTACCCATTAGGTCAACAGATCCGTAGATGTTAACCATGGAGGCAAGATCCAGAGGCAAATCAGTAGTGGTTTTTGGACTCATCATCCCATATGCGCCTTGGCGAATCAGAGAAGCTCCAGAACCTTCCATGGCGGCTAGAGCTCGAGAAGCCATGTTTCTTCCTCCACACATCAACTGGTCCTTCCCAAGAGAGAAATCTCTAAGACTATCATGTGGATAGTAAGCTCGAAGCTCTCCCGCATCATCGATGGCGCGAGAAACCCTGTTTCTCTGAAACGCATCGTTCCCAAGAGAGAGACTTTTGAGACAAGGAGATGAACGCTTGGTGGGTCGGTTCATATGGTCCAAAAGAACATCTCTGTGGTTCTTAAGAGCCATCATCTCTCTAAGTCCGTTAGGGTTAACGGAGTCTTGAACGCCAAGGAAACCCGGAGAAACTCCATGAGAGGGAAAAGCTTGGCGAGCAGAGTGATGGTTACGAAACCCATCCGGAAACTCATGGAGAGTTCTTCGAGGCACAAAATCATCCCGGTCGACTCGCATGGGTCCGGGTCTGCTCCAAATACTCATGTCGCAAGAGATGCCCATTTGGTTAAGCTTTTTACACAAACCCACCACATCCGTCTTCGTATCCATGTTGTCGTAACACTGATTCTTCTGCAGGAATGGGTTTGTGTCGAGACTCTCCTGAAACCCACCGGAAGAACCAAAGTCACGACGACGACGATCCGAAGCTCGCCCATTGTTAAAATTTCCATCAAAACCCATAAAGTTTTCCTCAAACATCTTCGAGAAAGAAACAAAGAAAAAAAAAAGCGATTTTCTTTCACAAAGGAAGAAGATGAATATGGAGAGAGAAATGAGAGTAAAACAAGAGTGGACAATACGGAGAGAGAGGTCAGGTTGGTGATATTATAACAGAAAATGCTATGGAGAGAGAATGTTGTGCTCTCAGAGAACCTCTCGTACGGAGACCCTCCCGTCCAAGGCTGCTTTGTCTCTTTTTGTCGTTTTTCACTCACTCTTGCCATTAATACGCACCAGCAGCAGCGCTGTGCCTTTGCTTTTGTACAACCTGCGGAACAAACATTAATATTAAATTGCAATTCTGTCCCCCATTTTTGGTCTTTTTAGTTTCTACTTTCTAGTATATATAAGAGCATGTACAACGCTGTCTCTTAACAGCGTGTTTAAGGAATAAACGTGATTAAAAAAAACAAAAAGAAGACAAAATACGAAGTCACATTCCTTACTTAGGAGCACGATGATACCGTATGATAAGGGCACGTGTCACACAACTATTCGAAGTGGAAACGGTGGAGACGCGTCTTCTTCTCTCTTCTTTCATTTTCTCTCTATTGGTTTCTCCGTCTCGACGACGAGAAAGATGATTCATCACGTATCGGTGGCTCTTCTCTCATCGACTCCGGAGCAACGCCTCCTCTCCTCTGAGTCGGTGGCTCTTCTCTCAACGACTCCGGAGCAACGCCTCCTCTCTCCGGAGCAACTCCTCCTCTCCTCTGAGTCGGTGGCTCTCCTCGGCGATACGGCGAAGTCTCAAACGGTGGTTCTCTGGAGCAATGGAAAGCGACGATCTGTCAAGTGGTGGCTCTAAGAAACACATATAAACGCCGTTGGTTGTTGTTCAGATGAAACTGAGGTAACTGTCGATCTGTGAATTGGTGGTTGATTTGTTTTTGTTTTTTTGGTGGTTGACATTTTTTGGTTGTTGATTTGTTTTTTAGTTTGTTTCTGTGTTTCAGTCATTACATGAATGGATCAATAAATGGATCAAGACGCACAATATATGTTCAATCCAGAAAAGAAAAACGATGATTTGAGGCGTATGAATGGGTAATATTTTGTTCATTTGGTTATGTCTCTAAGTCTTTCAATTTTCCATGATCCCATTTGTTTATTCATATGCTAATTTGTTTGTTTGTTTCTTTCTGTCTTTGTCTTGGGAGTTGGATGGATGAAGACGCATTGTCAAAGGCGTACTCTTGATGATACAGGTAAACATTTATCTTTGCTCTGTCCAATAGAGTAAAGCATTATCTTAGGTAATTGTTAGGGTAGGGCATTGAAATGAATCGAAACAAATTGAAGCCTTGGTAATAAATGCTTTGGTTAGGTTTGAAACAAATTGTACTGTGTTGAAGTTTATAGGAATATGTCAAGTCGGTTTAATATATATGGATGGTGGTTGCGATCAATGCTCTAATCCTCCTCTTTCTTTATTAAACTCTTCTCTTCTCTTTTTCCCTCTCAAATCATCTCTTGTGTAGTTAATGGTGTACTGGTTGAAGTTTATAGGAATATGTCAAGTCAGTTTAATATATATGGATGGTGGTTGTGATCAATGCTCTCATCCTCCTCTTTCTTCTATAAAACTCTTCTCTTCTCTTCTTTCCTTATCAAATCATCTCTTCTGTTCTTTTATCGTCTCTTTTTCTCTTCTCAAGTCGTTTCTTTGATCCTCTGAAATGGATTACAATCCGTTTTCACAGTCATCAAACTTTGTTGGACTACTTAATAGTCAACAAAGTATTTCATTTGGTCCAGCTCAAGTTCCAATTCCAATCCCGGATGATGTTGGTGAGCGTCTCTTACGAAAGAAGTGGTCCCCCAGTGATGATATTTTTCTGATCAGCTCGTGGCTAAACACCAGCAAAGATCCGGTTGTTGGCAACGAGCATAGGTCAGGGGCATTCTGGACTCGAATTGCAGCGTACTTTGCCGCTAGTCAGACGGTTCCTGGCAGCGAAGGAAGAGAGCCTGGTCACTGTAAACAACGCTGGTATAGGATCAATGATTTGGTCTCCAAATTCGGTGGTGCGTATGAAGCTGCTAAAAGAGAGAATGGTAGCGGCTGTAATGAGAATGATGTGTTGAAAAAAGCTCATGCAATATTCTTCCCAAACTATGACAAGAAATTTACCCTCGAGCATGCTTGGAAAGAGTTGAAGAACGACCAGAAGTGGAGTGAGCAATCTTCAGCAAAAAACGTGGGAAGCTCTAACAAGAGGAAGGGTGACGACGATGGAGAAAGCTCGAACTCTCAAGCTAGTGAAACCAAACGTCCCGTAGGTGTTAAGGCAGCGAAGGCCTCTGCGAAGAAGACTACGGTACATGTGAAAGTGCTTGAAGAGTTTGAAAGTATGTGGACCATTAAACAACAGGACTTGGCCGTAAGGGATAAGCTCTCGAGGCTGACCCTACTTAACTCTCTCCTAGCAAAAACAGAGTCTTTAGCCGACTATGAAGAAGACTTGAAGAAGAAACTCATCAGTCAAATTAAGTTTGATTAGCGTAAGTGTAGTTTAACTCTGATTCTTGTTTATTTTTATTTTTATTAAGTCTGATTATTGTTCTTGTTTACTTCTCTGTTTCAGGTCAGGACAGTGTGAAAAGATGGAGCAATGGAGTCTCTGTGGTGCTGTGGTGTTGGAGTTTTGTGTCATGGAGCAATGGAGTCTCTGTGGTGCTGTGGTGTTGGAGTTTTGTGTCATAGAGCAAGCAAGTCACGGAATGGTAGTGTAGTAGTTGTGTCTTTTTAGTACTACTGTCTTTTAGTAGTGGTTTACTGTTGCAAGTCACGGAATGGTAGTGTAGTAGTTGTCTTTTTAGTCACGGATGTTTGATGTCACGGAATGGTAGTGTAATAGTTGCGTCTTTTTGTTGTACTTTTTTAGTTCTTGTGTCACGGAATTATCTGTTGCGTTGATGTTTTATCACTTTGGTTCCCACTCTCTATATATTAACTCAGTCAAGTTGATGTTTTATTCACAATCTCTCTATCTCACAATCTCTCGATCTCACTTATCTCACAATCTCTCTATCTCACAATCTCTCTATCTCACTTACCTCACAATCTCTCTATCTCACTTATCTCACAATCTCTCTATCTCACTTATCTCACAATCTCTCTATCTCTTTATCTCACAATCTCTCGATCTCAATTTCGAACAAAGGAAACCAATCCCATTCTCTGCCTCTTTGCTAAACCAATCCCATTGTCTGCCTCTTTGCTAAACCAATCCCATTCTCTGCCTCTTTGCTAAACCAATCCCATTGTCTGCCTCTTTGCTAAACCAATCTCATTCTCTGCCTCTTTGCTAAACCAATCCCATTAAACCAAACACATTCTCACCAAACACATATCATATATGGCTTCTTCTTCTAATAACACATTTGATGAATCAATTGATGATGCTTTTGATCAGCATTTTGATCAACATTTTGATCAACTTTTTGATCAAATGTTTGAAAATTTTTCCATTGATCATGGTGAGCAAAAAAGAGAGAGAAAAAAAAAATTATATCGAGAGGCATCGTGAAGAAGGTGATAGACGTTTATGGGATGATTATTTCAGTGAAACACCAACATATCCTTCTAATATATTCCGACGACGCTTTCGTATGAACAAGGGATTGCTTACGCGCATCGTTAATCGACTCTCCAATGAAGTCGAATTCTTTCAACAAAAGAGAGATGCTCTCGGCAGGCGTAGTCTCTCTTCACTTCAAAAGAGTACAGCAGCCATTCGTGTCTTGACATATAGTCATGCAGCTGATGGGGTCGGCGAATACCTCCGTCTCGGAGCATCTACTACCCTCTCATGTTTGGAAAATTTTGTGGACGGATTAATTTCTTTATTCGGTGAAGATTACCTAAGAAGACCAACACCTGCTGATCTTCAACGTCTACTTGATATTGGTGAGTATTGTGGCTTTCCCGGGATGATAGGAAGCATAGATTGTATGCACTGGGAGTGGAAGAATTGTCCCACCGCGTGGAAAGGACAATATTCTCGGGGTTCGGGTAAACCAACAATCGTTTTAGAGGCGGTTGCTTCATATGATCCCTGGATATGGCATGCGTTTTTTGGACCTCCAGGTACTTTAAATGATATCAATGTTCTTGATCGCTCACCTGTTTTTGATGACATAATAAACAGCGAAGCTCCGCAAGTCACATACTATGTCAATAGAAGAGAGCATCGTAATTACTATCTCACCGATGGTATTTATCCGAAATGGTCAACTTTTATCTAATCAATTTCATTACCACAAAGCCCGCAAGCAGTTTTATTTGCTCAAAAACAAGAAGCTGTCCGAAAAGATGCCGAGCGTGCTTTTGGAGTCCTGCAAGCTCGCTTTGCCATTGTTAAAAATCCAGCACTTTTTTGGGATAAAGTTAAAATTGGGAAGATTATGAGAACTTGTATCATACTCCACAATATGATAGTAGAAGACGAACGAGATGGATACACTCAATTTAACGTTTCAGAGTTCCAAGAAGCAGAAGACAACGGAAGTTCACATCTCGATCTCTCGTATTTTACAAATATGCCTTCAAATATGGGCAATATGATAGATGCTCGAAAAAGAATTCATGATCGACAGTTGCATCAACAGCTGAAAATGATTTAGTAGAACATATATGGCAAAAATTCAGACATAATCAAGACAACTACTAAGTTGTGATGCTTCTCTCAAATTATTCTACTTTGTTTTAATAATCTTTGTTTCATGTTTTATTTAAAATCAATGTTTATCTTTAATAATATGTTTTATTTAAGATTTATATTATTTTTTTAAATATTATTTTTAATTATAAAAAACCTTAATTAAGAGATTAGCATTGGAACACAATAAATGCTCCCGTCTCTTAACCAAATCTCTTAGCCCATAATTACTATTAAAAATTAGTTATGATACCTATAATGGGTATTTGGGTTGTACATGCTCTAACGTTCTTCTTTTTTTTGGTAAACGTATAT